GGTTAACCTTAGTGTTGGGGTCAGGGTCAGGCTGTATAGAGGTCAAGCAGGGTCTAAGGATACCATCATGTAGGCCTCGTAGCCCACAGTGTTTATGCTTTAGACACGCCCACTCTTGTGACACGCCCACTTTGATTCAGCAGATAACACCTTCTCGAACACCCAGCGAATCCCTCCTCAAGTGGGTGGAGCCTTTCCCTCTTTCCATTGAGTTTTTCTCCCAGTAGTTGGGCCTCCCTCTCTCTCCCTCAGTGGGCGGAGCCTCCTCTCCCTCAGTGGGCGGAGCCTCCTCTCCCTCCTCTGTCAGTATTTAAGTGGTTCCAGTCTGGGTTTTGGACCCTCAGCAGCAGCAGCACCAGTAAAGCGTCACCCTGGAGCCCTGGTACTCTTACACCCACTGGTTCCCCATGGCCTCGGCCCACGTGATGAAGGAAGGCGGGCCAGAACCGATACCCCGCATGCAGCCCGCCATGATGATGTTCTCCAGCAAGTACTGGTCCAGGAGGGGGATGTCCCTGGACTCTGCCATGTTCGACCACCAGAACCAGCAGCAGCAGAAACACACCGGGGGGCGGATGGTGAGAATCTGGACCCATCCTCCTCCTCCTCATCATCATCATCATCATCATCTTTCTGTCCTTTTCTGTTCAGAACCACAGTCAGAACCAAGTTCTGTAACATCTGATTAATTAAAACTTGTTTCATTTAATAAACTGACAGAAAGTTTTAAAAAGATTCACTCTGACTGATCACTGCTGACAACAATACAAAACTCAAACAGGTTTTATTTGTTTTTATTGTCAGGAAAGTTTATTTAGTTAAAATTTTTTAGACCAGGTCCAACAGGTGTCCCTGTTTTAGACCCGGAACCACTGATCACTGAACTAATCCTTAAAATCAGAAGATAACTTCAGCAGAGCTTTTATCTTCAGGGTAAAATGTGGAGCATTAATCCCTCCGCTCTGACTGCAGGGTTCAGACCGGACTCAGGGATCTGGGTCTGGTCAGCGGCTGCAGCTGGTCCTGGTGCTGCTGCAAGTCCCTCTTCATGAGACTCCTCTGTTGTTAAACATGAACCAGGTTCTGTTGGTTCTGTTCTGTTGATGTTCTGGATCATTTCCTGTCTGGTTCTGGAGAACTTGTTGCACCTGGTCTTTGTTTGCTGCTGCTCACCTGTCAGCAGGTTCTTTTCTCTGCTGGTACCACCTGTGTGTGTGTGTGTGTGTGTGTGTGTGTGTGTGTGTGTGTGTGTGTGTGTGTGTGTGTGTGTGTGTGTGTG